TTTTTTTTTTGTCGGAACGAAGGGGCGCGCAGTTTAAGGGATTAAACGTTCGTGGAGAACGTAATCGTATTTTTGACTTTCGTCCCTTCGATTGCGATTTTATTGCGTGTCTGGAAGAGTACGCCTCGTCGCCGGGATAACGAGATTCATGTGCGATTCACTCGTCGCGCGCTTTTTGCGCGAAAAGGGAAGAAGGGGGTGAGGAAAGGGCGCCGAGCGTGACGGGGGGGGGTGAGGAGGCCGGGCGGGAACGTAAGGGCAGATGCGCGTGGTTTTATTCGGTCGTATTGCATAAAAGGCGAACTCACACGGAACGAAACCGGTTCGGCGCGGGGTTAATTGTTAATTAAGACGCGGATTGCCGTGCGGATTGACAATTTGCAATTGTAAAATCCGTTCCTCGCGCGTAACCTCGTTCGCGCATCGCCGAAGCGAATCTCGCTCGCACGTTTCCAATCGCATTGGAAATTGTTTCGCAAGTGCCGTTTCGACGCGCGGAAAAACGAATTTCGAAGAAAAGTTTCATCGAGGCGACGCGGCCGGACCGACAATTCGGATTCGCGCGAACTGTTTCGTAAAATTAAAATCCTTCGGGGACGTCCTAACGTGAATTGAAATAAAAAGAGAAGACTCTCGCAATAAGATTTGTTCGGAAAAATTAAAAATCGTTCGCAGCAAAAATAAACATTACATGAGCAGAGCGATTGTAGATGAGTCCTACAATTCACGTGCGACATTAAAGATTTTTCTGGCTTGCATTAAATCGTCCGATTTGTCGTCCCTCGTTCTACTTGACCCGTACTTACAATTCTTAAAAGAAAAACCAAGAATGTAAACGGCTTTAAATAAAAGTATATTTCAAAGTAGACACGTATTTTTCTGAAAAATAAATATTTACCTAAAGTGAGGATATATTTTTTCTTGCGCAATTTCTCCGCAAAGAGGAGAGATTCTGCGTCGTGCGGGGAAAGGGGTTGCCAAGTATAAGAAATAATGTGAAGTAGGTCGATCGTATTTTAAGTCGGCGAAGTCTATACACTTCGATGAGCGGGGCCAGCTGCAAGCCGAGATAAGAGGCGTCGCCCACGTCACGTTTCCCATGAAACGGAAAAGCGTCGCATTTACCCCATAATTCCCCTGGACTTAATCTTCTTTCTTCCTTTACTTCTTACTTTCCGTAATAATAAATTTTGCGCGCTCATGCGACACGATAACGATATTAATTAATCGACGAGATTGATTTTTTTTCTTTATGTAAACTCACCCTTCCCCCTCCTCTTCTCTCTTTTTTCTTCTTCTGATTGTGGTTGGAATTATTATATCTTTAAATTGTTACTTTTAATTATCATCCAAATTTTTTCTAAATCTGGAATTTTTACTTTTTTCTTTTTGCTCAAACAAAATTGTATGGAAGTAACAATCTTCGATTTTTCAAACTTTTCAAAACATTGAGAGATCACGCGTCAAAGAATCTTCGAAAAGTTCCGGCAGTTTCCGTGATAGAAAAATCGAATCAGAGAGAGAGAGAGAGAGAGAGAGAGAGAAAGGGAGAAAGAGAGAAGTGGGTTAAACATTTGCGAAATAACTCACTTTCAAACCGATTCGATCGAAACCAATCGGTTGCTCGTATCGGTGGGCACTGATTCTCGTTTCACACCCGCGTGAACAAATCTCGTTGCTTGTTTCCACCCCCATACGAAGCGAATGCGAGAGGGGATCCTTGGCTCGCTGGAGCAGCAAGTAAGAACCATGTTCCCAGTTTTACGCCGGCCATCAGGACTACTAGTGCTTTCGGAATACAATAATCGTAATCGTAGAGATTGCGTAAGAAAAGCAATTTCGTTTTCTAACAAATATCGCGTAATATCATTTAAGATTCATTTCGACTTCATTTTATTTCTAAAGCTGCAAAACAAATTGTAATTTAATGTTGTCATAAATTAAAAAGCTAAATAAAGTTATTTACGCTCCACCAAATAATTAATCAGATTTTATTTACAAAATTAAATATAATCAAAATTAAAATAATTATCCAAATATAAAAATTCATTGAGCTAATTTGGAAGAGAGATTAATCGGAGAGATATTCATAATATTTGTGAAGGAGAAAGAAAATCGCGCGATTAATTTTTTTTTTTAATATCGAAATTATTGAGTTTTCACGATGACGAATACGAGTGACAACGCAATCGCCGCGGATTCTTCGAAAAAATCCGTGGACCTCGCGAAGAAGGAACTGCGCACGATATTGGGAAAAATAGATGACTTGAGACTTCCAACTAAAGCTTGCCGGCTGCTTCGCGCCCGTGCGCGATTAAGACCGACAAAACCGATGAAACTTGGCGCGAGGCACCTGTGGATCTTGCTGATCGCCACGTGGATGACGATGCAAGTCGCGCGAAATCGCGTGCAAACCTATCGATATAATAAGGTAAGACAAATTTCAAGTTGTCCAATAATTTACACTTCTATTTCAATACGATATATATATATATATATATATATATACCCATAAAATATAAATATACATATATAAATATATGAATATATAAATATATAAATATTCTATGGATTCTGTATTAATCCTTTTATTAAGATCACAAAATTACAAGCGACATTATCAGATTACAGAATACTTTTGCATAAATTAAATGTACCATATCGTATAATATATCAAAACAGTAAAAGAATGAAAATTAAATTTGATCAATCAAAATCCCGACTAAGAACAAAGATTTCGATCCAAATTTAGGAAGAATTAATTTAACTGGCGTTTTACTAGTAATATTACTATAATTTGAATCGATAATTGCGGATCGTTATTTCAGTGCTTGATAATGGCGCCCTCGTTTACGCAAAAAGTTTTCCGACCGCCAGAAGACTGTTCGATCTGCCAGGACGTTCAACAGGTTGACAAACTCTCCGCTGTTGATCCAACGAGCTTTGAACAACGGTACTAATACATGACCTGCATATTGTTGCTTCAATAATACATGTATGGTGTTCATCCCTTTTTCAAAATTTCATTGCATCATTCGGTAATAACTTGCAAAAATTTCACTTTTCTTCAATTAATTTATTTGCGACGTAAAAATTATCGACAAACAACTTTTGTGACTCGGTAATTGTAAAAATATCTCGTTTATAAAAATGTGATTTTATCATTAATCTTATTAATTTCTTTACTTAAAGCTAAAACGAAATGTAAATTAAAAGTTAATCTCCACTTTAAATATTATTTAGGAAAAAGCATTTGTATCTCTGTATTAGCCAATTTATTTATTTAAGTTAAAAATTATTCAAAAATTATTCCAATCTTGTCATTTGATCATTGTTCACTTGAAAGGAAAGAACTTAACGTTTTAATGTATCTTACAAGAAATTAAAATTATCCGCCGTCACTATTTACAAAAAAATTCCATTTGTCCGTTCATAATTTAATTATTTATTTATTTGCAATACATTTAGCGCGAATCAATTTCTCCACAATTGCACTTTATTTATAATCAGTGTTTCTCCATAATTGCCCTTTATTTATAATTAGCTACGCGTATTCGGGGAAGCCCGTGGTAATAAGCGACGCGATGGTAAATTGGACGGCGCCTAAAGTATTTTCCTTCTCGTTTTTCAAAACGCTCTATCACGGGGAGGAAGCAAATTGCCAGTTTTTCCCGTACAAGACGGAATTTCGGAGTCTGCAGGACGTCTTCGACATGAGCGCCAGTCGAGCGACGATGGAAAAGGGCACGAAGCCCTGGTACGTCGGATGGTAGGTATAATTCGAAATATCTATATATAATATTTACCCCTTGGATGCATAAAGATGGCTAAAGAGAGGATCAAATCATCGACGTTCCAATCTCCTCTTTTAATATTCCTTTTATTATTATACCTAATCTTTCATTCCTTTGCAGATTATTTTTAGAAATCTCAAGAGTTATCTTTCAAACATATTCAATCTAAAATTACCAAATCATGTTATGATATTTTTGGGAACTACGAATCCGAGGAATAAAGTTAAATGCACTTACCTGACTCATCTGTCCATTCTCAATTCAACCGAAAATGAAATTTAATAAGATCAATACCGCGACAATAATTTTATATTAATAACAAAGTTTAATAAAGTTAATAAAATTTTCTCAAAACTAAGAATTAAAAACGATAAAAATATTGCAAAGAATTTCAATACTAAATTTGTCAAATTGATTGAAAATTCATTATTAATGAATTATAATAATAACAAATTTTTGTTGAGCTCCTTACGACTGTCATAAATAAATGCTCGCCATTTTTAAGCAATTTTATAATTATTAATTTCATTATCGGAAAACTGTCGCGCTTGCAGCGAACATTAAAATAATCGCGCGCGAAATAAATGAACAGTCAGTAGCACAAATGTAAAATATGAAATTCGCTCGCCGAATCGACGCGTCGCACCGTCGTTGTCGCATTCCTCCGCGGAGTGTCCCGTAAGCATAATTATCGAAAATATAGAATATCAATTTAAAATTGCCGTGCGGACGACAATTTCGAATAAATAACATTTTATTTGGATAATTCGTAATTGTCATTTTTCCGTTGTCTGATTCAGCGAGAGACGAATGCGAGATGAATACCAAAGCGGGCGCCAATTATTATCGCGCGGCGCATCGAATCATCGCGAACAAATTAAACAAATGGCTCACAGGCGCGCCTGTGAATAAATGAATCTACTCGTACGACGACGCATTTGCCATTTTTTCGGATGGCCACGTACTTAATTAACGTGTCGCTTTTTCGCGACACTACCGGCTTACATTTTCGCGATACGATCTAAACAATCGCGTAACATTCGCCCGATTGTTCGACATACGCGATAGTTCAACATTTTGACGAATTTAATTAACGAATAAGGTGTAATAAATTCACGACTAATTAATATGAGGTAATAATGTGCGTTTGTGTCTTTACAACGCACGTGGTTAGTGATAAATTTTTAATTAGATAAAATATAGAGTCTTGATATTATAGGAATATCAAAATCCGCAAATCCGATTTTATTTTTATAGTGATTTTATTTAGTGATCCACATACAATATTAACATTTGTTTAATATTGCAAAATATTGCTTGTTTTACGCAATAGCGATTATAACCCACTTTGGATAATCGATCAGCATCTATTTACGACTTCATAATTGTACATTTAAAATTTGCAGTTTAATGTGTATTTTATATTTTCTGTATATTTTCCTCAAATACTTTTCGCATTAAACAACATATAAAATTATAAATAAAATTCTATCCGCAACTCTGACATAAATTATAGGTTATTGAAAAAAGGAGCTTCAAAATTGTATATAATTTGAATATGACGAGACAAAGAATTTTTATAACTATGCTGGTCACATTAATTACAACGATCTCGCTAGCTTTTGATCTAGAAATCAATTACGATCAATGATCGCAGTAAACAGCAATTATCATTAAGGATTTAAGCTAATAATTAGTCTAAAGAAAATTGTTCCGTGAAAATTCCATTGGATGAGTAACGCTACGATCGCACGGAGGCTAACTTGAGGAAACTGTCACGATATGTATCGCATGTTTAGGATGATCGTTAGATATTTTTAATTTAGACTCGTATTTATATTTTTGATATTTGAATTTTAAATTATTAATTACCCAAAATGAGCTTTAGATTTACTGTCGCACTAACAAATAAGAATTACCCGACGCCAATATCGCGAAATCTAACCTTATCTCTTCGCGACTGTTAGAAGATTCTCGTAACGGTGCGTGAACTTGGCGTTATTTTTTATCTTTTTTAAAAAAAATTTGATTCGATTACGCCGTCGCTCGACAGTCAATAGTCGTCATTTCGATCGACCATCAAAGAGAATCGCGCGTTCCAGCGGATTGATCGATCGCGACGAGTCCACAGGAATTCGAACGATTCCGAAATGGGCAGCTAGTTCAGAGCGAAACGCAATGTTCGCAAATATATATACACATATATATATATATATATATATATATATATATATATGTGTATATATT